AGACTCTCGTACAAGTCAAAATTACTATTTTAACATCGGATTTTTGAACCCATTCTTGTTGCTTGTTGCTGTAAATCCAGAGCAACCTATGTAAAATCTTGGAAATAATTCTGTAAATTCGGGACTAAATTGGGTGCTTTCCCTTTAAAGAGGCAGATTTAAAGGAATACCATCCTTTGTTCTAACAAAATAGTCCAGGCTTGTCAATCCAGAAGATTTGTGCATTGCTGAACATAATGGCATTTTATTACCTAGTTTATTTCTGTCTAGCATTCTAAATCTCCTGCTGATGCTTTGACTCAGAGTAGTTTTTGGTTTGGAAACATGAACTCCAATGTCACAGATGACTTCTTTCTTTTGGTAATTCATATTATTTTTTTAAGTTAATAAATGTTCAAGAAAGAAAGTGTTTGGCCAGAGAGAAGTTGTGTTTCAAACTGTGAACAGCTAAGCAGTAGTGTGTGAAAATAGTAGCCTTTATTTTTGCTCCCCTCTGTCTCTTGTTAACGCACAATTAGCTCGTGTCTTACAGTAGATTAGTATATAGTTAAACTTAACTACTATGTAGTAATATAGCAGGTCTCTCACCTTCCTCAGTTGTGAATCAGTAAACCGTAGTCCTTGTTCATCCAAAAGGACAGATGTTCAAATGCAGAAGTGCCCACTGAAGTCCGGCAGACTACCCCATGCTTGAGGTTAGGACATTGTATTTCCAGAATAATCTATGCCGATTATCTATGGCCACTACTAAGTGGATATTACTACTGCAATACTTTTACAGTTTCTATCAGAACACCTCCACATAGGGAAGAGTGTTATAGTAAAGCTAGATTCAAGAGACATCTTTATATAAATATGATAGGAATGGGAAATTTCCTGCTTTTGGAGCAGAAGTAACCCTAAATGTCATTTCTTAGGCAGTTTTTTGCAGTGTAATTTAGATTTTCCTTTATAAAATAACATATAAGGTTGAGAATTTTGGCTATGCCATTCCACATCCAGTTGTAACATTGTAAACATTCATCTTATATCTTCCTTTATGTGACGCTATAAATATCCATCAAAACATTTGCATCTCTTCAGTAATTTAAAATATTAAAAAGAAAGGCCAAATTTCAACATAGTTGTCAAATGGTTTCAGCCCTTCCCATACATTTCTGTATACATACACCAGTTAGTAGTACCCCTCCATACATACTCATACCATGCAGCTTGTTCCCGACTGTAGTCGTCTCTGAAAAGCACATAATAGGTGCATCTCTTGCAAATATAGAACATGAAAGCATACATGTCTGAGTAAATCCATGGCGTGTGCTTGTGGAAGACATTACATCGAGAATTTATTTCATTATTTTGATGCCCGGGATGCACTTTGTGTTTTACACACCGAGGTTTTGTGCCCTGCCCATACAGCACAACGGAGTGCTGTGTTTGGCATTCCTGAGCTGGTTACACGTGATTTATCTCAGGTACTCCACGTACATAGTTACCCGGGAGAAAACCTAGCAGTGCTGTCTGTTTTTTCCAATAAATGAGCAGGCTCATTTAGAGTTATTGCCAGGGTCTTCTTGTTGTGGCACTGCTTTGTGCTGTGTAGACATTCCTCGGAGGAGAGTTACGTGTAAGTCTGAGGCTGGAGTCTTGCATTTTACTCAGAAACTTGCACAACCCTTACTACAGACATCTGTATGCTGCCCATTATTTTCTAACCAGATCCTAATGCTCTTCTATAAAATCTTTGCTTATATGTTACCCAAATAAAACATTCTGAATTGTAATGAGTGAAAATTCATTGCTGTTTAATCCTTAAAACGCACTGAGCTAATTTGTGAGTGTCCCTTAATTACAAAAAATTGAAGCCTGAAAATTAGATCCTGGACCTAGATAGTAATTATTTTCATAACTTTTATTTTTACCTCCATAATATATGGAAATGGAAAATGACCAATTGTGGTTAGGCCAGCGGCCTTAATGATGGGTTATAGTCCCAGCACTGCCATTCACTCCTGCCAGTGCTGAGTGAATTTGGGTGAGTCATTTAGCATCTGTCCACAAAGTGTCCTTACCTGCCTACCAGAGTTATTGCGGAGATGAGCTGTAGTTAAGCACTCTTGACTCTTAAGGCTCTGAGGAACTTAGAAAAGTATTATTGTCATCGTGAATCTCAATAATGGCCACATAATCACCCTTGGAGCACTTGGCCAGCCTTCAGTCACCACTTCTTGGTCGCAAATACTGAATCAAGTGTTTGCTGTGCCTTCCTGTTCCCCTGCCTTGATGCTATGATAGTCTTAAACCAGTTTTATAGACATTCAGGTTCCTCCCATACTTAGTCATAATAGCATGGACATATAAACTGAAATATTTGCAACATACTGCTGGCCGAAAACCTAAAAGTATCTGCTGCTATTCAGACTATTTGATATTTGACTACCACCATTTCTTTCTGAGTGCCTAATTTGGACATTCTGCTCAAATAGGTAAACATCTAGCACTCTTGGTGGACAAAAAATCCCAAACTTCAGATCATAGATCAAATGTGAAGAAGAAAGGAATATAACAGTTTGAGAATGTAGCAGCTGGACTGAGAAATAACAAAACAGGATTACTGGGAAATTGCATGTAGGCATGCCAAATGTAGAAGAAATCTGAATGTTTCTGCTGAGTGCACAGATCTGTAGACTAGAAAGATTTGATGAAAGGACAAAGTTTTAGTCTGCCCTCCATTCAAAGTCCAGTCTTTTGGTTTTTATATCACTATTCATATCAATAACATAGAAAGTGTTTATTTTTGTTCAACTGAAGAGCTTCAACAGGGCAGGAGATAATTGGAGGACTGTTGTCTAAGAAATTACGAAGTAATGGCCTTGATACATTCAGATAAGGCCAAAAATGCATCATGAAATTCCTTCAGGAAAGTTAAGCCTAGAAAGATACCAAAATTCTGAATTTGTTGCAATTTCAATGTGGGACTCTAAAGGGGCTGTGGATCAAATCTGCTATTGCAGATAATAGTGTCATGTAATATTAATCATACTTTTTCCTCTGAATATCTCCTGTTCTTTCAGCTTGTTAACCTTGCTTTATTCCAGTGGACATTAGTGAAGTATAACCTTACTCATATTATTCTCATTAAAAATAAGTCTACAAACATACTATACAGTTCAGAAAGTGCCATTTTTCCATTTCTCCATATGTGCTCTAAGACATGTACTTTTCTGGGTCACCAGATTTTGCCCCTTTTGCTATGTCATATTTGCAGTACAGAATCATCCTCTTGAGCTTTTCTGCCCCGTTTCTCCACATCACATTCCCACAACACGTACGCAGCAGAATATCTCGTTTGCAACCAGATACCACAGTTGTGGAAGCTTGATAAGTCCTTGTCATAACAGTAGTCCCTGACATTTAAAGAACTTCAGTTTATATTTGCGAGCCAAATTTCATACCTTCATACCTCTTTTGATTAATCAAAGTTAAACCATTGTATATGTGAAGGGGCCTCTTGTGGTTTCTAAGTAAGTAGTATGGCTTTTCTGGCAGAGAGCCACAAGCCATTTAGTAGACACATACTGTGGGGGTTGAGAGGAAGAGAGACGGGGATAATCCAGAAAGCTTTAAGAAGGCCTGAGTGAAATCAGTATTTCTGTACACAGTACAAGAATTTTGCGTCTGTATCTTACTTTTGGCCACAGCAAAACTGTTTCGATGTGTGGTCAATAAAGTAATTCTGAAATACAGCACCAGCTTAGTTTTCCCCGAGCTGAGCCAGTTTTGCATGGGTTTTGCTTCAGCTGAAGTGTTCCCAATTTACACCTGTGGCAAAGAAGTTAGGCACAGGGGATTTAATATGCATGGTGTACAATTAAGTATCATATATGTCACTAAATCATTTCCGCAGGAATAACTCTAATATGGTTCCTAGTTGTCTTCAGAAATAATAAAGTTTAATTTTGTAGCCTAAATGTCAGGATGAGGCTTTATCATGTAACTTTTGCCTGAGAGCTATACAGCTGCAAATAGATACTAACATAAAAGGTCTGTCTCCAGCAGAGCTGATCTCTCTTTCCACTTCTGACAGGGGTCACATAGCTAATGTAAATTACCACCATAAACTAAATTCCACCTCTCCTGTAGAACAAAGTGCTTGCTCTGCCTGCCTAGAAGCCAGGAGCTACTCAGAGAACTGTAATATTTCAACAGTTCAGCGTGAGTGGCAACCTGCTCTTCATAATGAAACACTGGCAACATTTAATTTCGTTTTGTCTCAACATATTAAAATCCATCCTTTCTGCAGGGGCTTTAAGCACTGTCTGAAGGGAACCCGAAGAAAAGGAAAATAATTCAAATAGAAGCACTACCTTCCTCTGTATTGCATGCAAGATTCAGGTTCAACATGCACATCTTGGCATCAATAGGGAGTGAATTACTCTCAGAAAAGGATAGCCTAGACATCTCCAGAAGAATGCGAATTCTTCTCCATTTTATCTGTCATTTTAATTTAATTACAAAATCAGATTCAAATATACATTAGTCATGTCAAAAGAGTTAGTGGACTTTAGTAGAAATGGAATTACGATTGAAAAATTTAAACTATTATTGCCAAGTTTTTGGAGGTATAATGATTTACATGGATGTTTTATAACTAAGCTACAAAATGCCATTAAAAATGATATCTGGGCTGGAAAATATAACTTGAAAATAGATTCTTATAATTCTATAGATACAAGATCTTGAATTCAGTCTCAAAGTTCTCAGGAACTGAAGAACACAGCACTTTAAAAACTATCCAACAGACATACCACAGAAAATTTGGCCCCAGTGCAGTATGTGACTACCTAGAATATCTTAAAACTCCTTGTTTTACATTAAAGATGAATTCAATGTAAATGTTTGGAATTCTTCTTACAAACTTGTTGAAAAGGGACGGTATTTTAGCATGACTCCCTTGTACAAACCTGGTGTTTAGCAGATTACGTATGTTATTCTGTTATAGGTACACTACAGTGATAGACAAAATGGCAAAGAGTGTATGACCAGTTTGACACTGTCTCCTGTGCAGATGACTTTCCAAGGTATCGGAAGCTCCATTGAAGCCAGCCATGACCAGGTATAATACCTTCACCCCACACTCTTGTAATTTTATTAATATCTAGAAAGGCCAGAATGTCAGCATTAGTAAATTTTAAATTTTGACACACCTTGTGGTTTTCGTATGGCATGTTCTTGTCACTGGGATTTGCCTATCCTGCCATAGTAAAATCCTGATTAGACCTAAAGAGTCACCCAAAAAGGAGACAAGACTATATTGCCTTTTAGATATTTTTAAGACATGTTAGGAAAGCCTGAAGAGCTTGCTTTGGTTTTAAAGTCAGATGTAAGATTTCTGCAAAGGCTTTGTTTATTTTATGTATGTGTCAGGTCTTGTCTATCCTATTTTTACTAGAAGGTTACGGGTAGCCAGAAAAATAGAGAGATGAAGTCATCATCTCTAGCCATCATCTGTCACAAGAAACTGGCGTTTGAGAGGGGAAAGGGATTTTTAATCAGACTGTGTAAAACTCCCATTTTGTTTGGCTGTTCTTAAAACATTTAATTCAAGCTTCTGGCAAAAAGCCAGGGGAAAAAAAAAAAAAAAATCTCAATCACTCATCACCCTGCTGCTTCAGATGGGAACTGAGGGGGACTTCCATCTAGTCTTCTTGTCCTCCAGCACTCTTACGTATAAAAGCAAGACAAGACTGTGATACTCCAAAAGCTTTAAAAGCAAAAAGGAAACAAGTAGAAGAAAACTTTAAACCAAACCTTACACCTTTCGGATCTTCAGTAGGTTGGAAAAAGTACCATTTTTATTTGCCTTCACAGGCCATCTTTAAATTGTACCGTGTTCACATTTACCATACATTTTAGCAGACTCTATGTGAGATCTGCTAAGAAAAAAGGAAAAGTCACCTTAAGATTTATCAGAATTAGTTACTTTTGGGGAAAAGGTTCAGGCACTCTTAGCCATGTTTTTGGCTGGTTTGTTTTTTTTTTTTATTGGAAGTTTCTAAGGTAGCTGTTAACATAAACTAAGGCCATTAGTTATTTACATGGTAACATGAGGATACTTCCTGTCCTTAAGTGTTTGGTGTTTTACAGTAATGGAGAGCTGTGGTAAGTCAGACCATACTTTGACAGACGTAATCCATTCACTTCTCATTTCATCCAGCAACTTGTTTATGCAGTTCTCAAGCCGCTCCATTTTTCTTTCAGTAAAAATCGCCTTTTAAAATTTAGTTATAACTCAAACACAATATTTAGACATTTCAATGAATTTAAGGTGGTCCCTGTCAATTTGGTAACAACTACATTCTGGGCTACCCGCCAGCTTGGCCTTTGTCTTAGCATTTATTTAGGCTAGAGTATGATATGTAAACAGAAAAAAGACTTTGTAAGCAAAAAGCACATTTAAGCCATCTGAATAATTATATATTTAGGACATCTAAACGAAAAAGCGTTATTGAGCCTGCAAAGTCAAGCACCTAGAAATTAAGAAATTCCAGATTATGTGCAGCATTAGTTTGATCCCAAATGTACCGGTTCAGTGCTCCAAACAGGACATTCTTCTGTCAAACAGGCAGGAAAAAAAAAAAGCATAAAATCACATAGATAAAGATTGTATCATATCACGTACACAAATGGGTAGAATTAAGTTTGCTTGGGGCATTATGTAGCTAGAATATCCTAATCTTGCTTCAGTTTGAAGTTTAAAAAATATTTATCATTGGGTTTAGTTGTGTAATTTTCCACAGGTTCTTAAAAAGGAAAGAAAAATGTTTTATCATTGCATGATGGGGTGGTTGCTGCGTTACTTAACCCACATCACTTGTGCAAAGATTTCATCTGAGCTGAGAGCAAAAGGAAGGAATCATCTAAAAGCCAAATGCCAACCAGTGGCTCACAAAATAGACCCACATACTGGACAGGATTCACAAATTTCTGCTCATCCCCTTCCTAAATATCAAAGGAATTCCACTTTCTGGGGAAGAGGGGTGCTAGTGACTGGTTGTGTTTGATAAGGAAGGTAGGCAGGACTGGATTGAAGCGTTTGCCATCACCTGAATAAATAGAGAAAAATTAATCATTAGCAAACAAACAGAAAGCACATCAAGTGTTTTTCAGGCACTGGAATTCATTAATTAATGACAAAATTGGAGCTTTTAATGGACTAACTTAAAAAAAAAATCCTTTTCTTTCTTGTTCCTGTGTGGTATGATTTTGCTTGTTTTTCTACATTTTCCTTCACAGCAGGTTTATTTGATACCGCTATTCTTCTTATAAAAGTAGGAGACAGAACTGCTGGACCTTTGTTTAGCTGAACTATCCACATTTTAAAGTTTCAAATTAAATAAGTGCAAGATAACCATCTGCTATAAAACTTAAATTCTAAAACTCTTCTTTAACTTATATCATCTGTTACTTTTCAATCATCTCTTTTGTACTGTATGATAATTAGGATGGACTGGTCACCTGGAAGCCTGTGATTTCAATGGAGGCATGTTGATTTGTGTCAGCTATGGGGCCTGACATAGTTTGGCTTCAGGATCTGTCCACTTCTGTGTTTATGAAGATAATTTTTCTCATGTTCATTCTAAAATACAGATTTTATAATTTCTAGGTTTTTTAATGGAAAACTGTCTGAATGAGACTCTGGAATAGTTTCTTTGTGGGTAAATAGTGGAATCTGTTGTGTGAGAATATCTAATAAAAAAGCTGTAGACCAGATTTGTCACTATATTGTGGCAGAAGAACCACAGCTGACCACATACTTTGATCAAAAAAAGAAACAGAAATGAAAAAAAAACCCCAAAACACCCAGGTTTCCAGTGACATCTCCAGCACTATAGTCTACTTTTCAGATTGGATTGTCTTTTGTAGTATATCTCTGTACTCACATCCAGTGGAAGATTTGTTACCCAGCAGACGCCTGTGTGGTTACAAATCTACCTAAATATATTACCTTGCTTTTTCAAATATGCCAAGACTCGACACAGCAGTTTTTCAAGTCACTTGCTCTTTTCCTATACTCTGAAGGGAGTTTTCATTCTTTAGATTGGTTTAGCTTGCGATTTTAATGACTTCAAACTTTTTCCCCATGTACTTCATTTCAGCAATTTCAGATTAAAATAAACATTTCATTCTGCTATACTAATTGGCGTGTATTTCAAATGTCCGATTGACAAGGCATATCCCATTTGGTCATGAAGCAGTATTGTGGAAGCAGTTGCTGGTCTTTCATTTTTCTTTTGGCAAACAGTAAAAAAGGGAAACATTCCTAAAGTATCACTGCAGTTTAGCCTGCCACACGTTTTGTTGGGTTTTACACTCAGGTATGCCAGCCTGTTTAGTAGAAATGTAATGGGTTTTAGAATTTTTTTTTTCCTGAATGATTTCTTTTCCTATTTTCTGTCTCATAGTATCTGACTATGACTATAAATTTATCTTTCCTTAATGGCCGCTATTCTTTGGGTTTTTTTCAGTAGAATTTAGCTACAAGCAGCTTTTAGTTAAAATGGCCACCACTTTCTAGTGTCTTTTTCAAGCAAATCTGAGGTTTTCCTTAATGGTAATGAATCCTGGTATTTTCTACCTTGCTGTGAGATTGGGGACAACCTATTATTAGGGCTTATGATGGACTTTAGGCATACAGTGTGAAGCTGAGGAATGAATTGAATGTGGGTGATATAAAGAAACAGAAAGGAAGTCCAGGTAGTTGTTCTATTTCTGTCACTAAAAAAATTCAAGGTATGAGGAGTGGGAGACAGAAAAGGGAAAAATTCAAAGATAGGAGGCTATATAAGCAAGAAAATGTGGAATGGAGCAGAAAACTAAGAAAGTGCAGGGAAATGGGGCAGAGAATGTCTAAAGGCCATGCAAGTGGGATAAAGAGAGGAAGTTAGAGCTAAGAGGGTGCTCAGAAACCCCACCAAAATAAAGACATCTTCTTCACTGCTTCGTCTGAAAGTCTCACAGAGTTCTGCCTGCTTAGCTTCTCGAATTATTGAACACCTGATTGTTTGCTACCAACACAAATATCTTCCACATTTAGCAAACCGTGTTGTATGAAGAGCTCTTTGAATTCTTGAGCACAGACGTACCAAGAACTTTTAGTTAGGCAATGTAATGCTATTGGAGCAAACTATTGAAGGAAATGGAGGTTTCTGTTTCCCCTAAAGACTTCTAGTCAATACTATCAAGTTGTTAAGAGATGTTCTTCACTTAACACAAATTGTTGGACTCACTGTAATGGTAGCTAGGTTAAATTTGACAGCTTGTGTTACACAAGACAGCCTGTGACATAGTATCAGTCTAGGAAGTGACATTTCTATGTCAGCTATGTCTTGAACAAGCCAGTGTCAAACTTGGCTTCCATGTTTGCATGTGTATTTTGGAAACTTGCCATGTTACCATCTTTAGTGGCTTTGTAATGATTGCTGTTTTCCTGGATGCTTCAGCTCTACGTAACTGTAGAGCTCTGCTTCAGAGGTATAATACCCCTGTGGTTCTCATAGCGGTGAAGAAAATGCTGGAAAAAACATCTTGGTTGCATTCTTAAGGCTTACTGAACAGCCTGAAGAACTTTGCCTTGTAACAGCAAATACATAATACATATGAAGGTACACATCTCTCTATTACGGTCTGAGAATTATTCATAGAGAATTCTCCAGCTAGGGAAATTATGCCAACTGGAGTCACTGACTGACATATCTGTAAGAAAACCAAAAACCCCAAAAATGAATGGTGCAGTCAGTGAGTAGGCAGAGGATGAGAATTTGTCTAATGCTGTAGCCAAAAAAGATGAATGGGATTGGGTTTTTTGTTAAGATACCTTTCCACATCAGAAAAAAAGATTCTTTACAGGACGTTACATTAATTCGTGCTTAAAATTAATTTTGTTCTAAGGTGAAATTAGTATTTTCTAGGTGTTCAGTTTTACTTCACTTTAGGTGTTTGTGTCCTGGACATAGACAAAAAATAAGAAAATGCAAGGATTTTCTTTAAAAAATACATTTATTCCTTTTTTTTTGACTGGTGTTACGTGCTTACCTTGTCATCTCATTTCTGCTT